GCCAGAGAGATGGGGGTCTTGGGGAAAATGAGGAATTGTTTTGGACAGATTGGGTTTAAGATGGCTACTGGACATCCAGTTCTAGACGTCTGATAGGCAGGTGCAGAAGTAAGATTGGAAATTAGCAGAGATTGGGGCAGGAAAGGCAGATTTGAGAATCCTCAGCACAGAGATGGTCATTCAGTCCAGCTGCTGAGATCACCTAGTGAAGTACGACAGAGGGAGAAGAGGACCCAGGACAGGACCCTGAGAGATATCTGTGGTCGGAGGAGGTGATGTGAAGGAGGATCCAGAAAAGGAGACAGAGAAGGAGGCATCAGAGAAGCGGGAGGAGAACCAGGAGAGAGTGGAGATGTCCTGAAAACCCAGAGAGGAGAGAGTGACCTGCCGTGTCAAAGGCTGCAGAGAGGCCAAAGAGAGTGAGGACTGGGAAGAGGCCACTGGGTTTGGCAACTAGGACAGCACTGGTGACTTTGGAGAGGGCAGTTTCAGTGGAAGGACAAGGTCTGAGAAGCCAGACTGTAAGGGATTGAGAAGAGAGTGAGAGGGGAGAAAGTGGAGGTCCCTGGTGTGGACGGCCTTCTCTAGGAGTTTAGCCACAAAGGGCAGAAGAGATACAGGATGAAAGTTAGCAGGCACAGAAGGATCGAGTGAGGGTTTTTTCCAGGATAGGGGAAACATGGGCATGTTTGCAGACAGCAGAGAGGGAGAGACTGAAGATAAATGATAGAGGAGGCAGTCTGTTGGAGGGGCAGGGATGAGATGGGATTGGCTGAGTGGGGAAGGTGGTTGGTCCGGGTAAAGAGTCAGGTCAGCTTGTCATAGGAGCCAAGAGGAAAGAAGGCTCGAGTGGTGGAAGGCATTGGTGTGGTAGAAGATGAAGAAGAGGGAGCTCATTATGGCGGGGCAGAGTTCTCCGCTGAGAGGGTGGGGGAGGTGTGTGGGCGCAAAGGTGACTTTGTCGGGAGGGCCGAGGCAGCGCTGATAAGGGGCCTGGGATTCCAGAGTGGAGGACCATGGAAAGTCTCCACCTCTCCCTCCGAGGGTTGGTGGGGGGATCTGATGGGACCGTTTTTCGTAAAGGTATATTAATGCTCATTGTTATTGGCATTGCGTTACCCTCCTGGCCCCGGAGTTTTATGTCTGAGGAAAATGTGTTTTACAGTGATAAGAACAGACCGACAAAGGCCACACAGCTGGTTAGAAATGGCAAGCTTTTTATTTTAGGTTTAATGACTCCCTAAAATATGTGTTTGGGGATTCTTCAGCCCCAATTGCAGACAGGATTCAGGGCTCAAGTGTGGTATCAGATGACACTGGTCCCCTGGTCATTATTGCAAGAAGCCGTGATGCACCCATAACAAGTGGGCTTTATTCTAATAGGATACAAAATAAGTTAAAAACCAATTCCGAATTCTGGCATTATAGGAGGGCAGACTGGTGGGCCAGGAGCCCCGGCACCCCGCCAAGCTCTCTGCTCTCTCCTCCTTTGTGTCCTGTTGGACAAAGGGCCTCCGTTTTTCTCCATTGGTTGTAACCATGGAGCTGGAGGCCTTGGTCCCGTGTTAGGGACCAGGATGAAGCTGGATTCTCGATTTCCCCCTCCCCTCTCTTTTCCCTTTTCACTGCCATCAGCCATTAACCATCAGCCGAGCAAGCTCTCCGAGGAGGCCAGCAAGGTCAAACCATCCCAGGGAACAGTGAAGCCTGTCCCAAGGGGTAAAACAAGCCATGCCCATTTTTAAAAAGGACCGTGTTTCCTAAGCACTGGGAGAAACAGACACAGTGAGAATACAAATCAAATTAGGAGGTAAACTGCCCTCGGTCTCAGCCCAAGGTCTCGGTCAGAACATGTCCTCTCAAGCTTGGACGACATCAGGGGTCCTTAAGTGAACTTTCATGAATGCTTCGTTAAGTGTGTTTCCACAGAATTCGTTTGCTTTGTGATCCTTTGTATTTCATGCTTTTAAAAACATCTTTCCATGTGCTCCAACGCTTTCCCCAGGACACTGCCAGAGAGGTCTGAGACACCACAGACAGGGTGGAAAAGCTTCCTGGCCTCGAGGCTCCCCAGGGGCATCGTCTGAGTCCTAGCTCTGCCGAGGCACTGCCTGGGGTGGAGAGTGAAGGGCGGCCCCAAACTTTCCTGCCCTGGAAACTAAAAGGCTTGGCTGAGCTCTAGGAGCCGGGTGGGGAGGGGGTGGGGCAGCTTCCGGCCCGACACCCTGGATCACAACTCCCCAGCTTCCCTTCTCGGTGATGCGGCTAAGCCTCGTCCAGTCCCGTTCTTTGCTCTCAGCCTGGCTGTTCTTGATTTCCCTCCGTGCTGACCAATCTTGGCCAGAGTCCAAGTATTGCCAATTGTCCTTACACTTTTGTCTACCTCAGGCACAAAGGTCTTCCTCCTCTCCTCTGTGGGCAACCCCCAAGCTTCCATTCCCCATCCCCTTCTTCCCCAAGTCAGCCTTGTGGGTTTCTCTTGCCTGCCTCAACCTCCCTAGTGCTTCTCTGGGCTGGGAGTACAACAGGCTTGTCAGCCCCCAGGATGCCTTTAACCCTTAAAGGAAAAGGCCCTCCGGAAGGAGTTTGAGCAGGAGCAGCGGCTGTCTGGCCCGCTCTCCTCCCCTGAACTCTAGGGAGCTACGTCTGAACGGTCACAGCCCACGTCCATCTCACAGAGCAAAGCATTTGCGCTAGTCAAATGAAGGAGAATTTGAAGAATTGCTAAGTAACAGAATAGATAATAGGATAGTGTCACCTTTGCCATGAAACACAGGGAGAATTGCTTTTCTTTAGTGAATGGGGGGGGACAATTTCAGAGGTTAAGGAAGGTGACTGCTGAGTTCCCTGTCCCCAGTGCTTTCAGGGTTCCCTCACCCCAAAATACATGTCATGTGTCTTACAGTGTAACTCTTAAGAGCTGGAAGAGAACCTGGAAAGCACCAAGACTTTCATTTTTACAGAAGTAGAAACTGAGTCCTGAAGAAAGGAAAGGACTTGTCCAAGGTCATATAAGAAAGTGGGGTGAAAATGGTCATGAAAGGCCTGCTCAAGCCGTGACAGATGACCCAGGGCAGTCTAGAGTCCTAGGAAAGAAAGGTTCTCACCTTCTAAGCTGTCTTCAACCTTGTGTCCTTAGCCTTACTGTAACTGCTCTTCTCAGGCTTAGGGTTTGTCACCTAGCAAAAACGGGTGTATGCATGGATGTGTGTACATGTATGTATGTCTAGACAGACATTTTCTGAGTGTCTGTCCGTATCGACCTTAGAGGGGCCATCTGTTGAGCTTTGTACATGTGGTAGTGGAAAGAGGTTTGGCCTGGGATCTGAGGTCAAATCCTCCTGACACTTAATAAGGGTGTAACAGCAGACAATTCATTTGATATCTTAAACCTCTCCTAGCCATTGGTAATGTGCATCAGAAACAAACATTGGCAAACCCAACAAAAGGGGCGATGTTCAAAAACAATCATCGTTATCACCATGTAGGTTATCAGTTTTTTCTTTTGCCCTTGTTAAATTTCAGGAGATAGTCACAGTGCAAATCTGGGAATCCCCAAGCAGGGGCCCACAAGAACCTGGGTCTGATTCCTGGTTCTGACACAAATCAAGCTTGGCAGAACTTCCTCCCCCCCAGGACCTTAACTTCTCAGAGCCCCCAGGAGGGAGGGGCTGCCAGCAGGGGCAGTAGCCCCCATACACACCCAGATGAAATCCCCGGTCTGGACTCCTCCCCCACCCTTTTTTTTTTTTCTTACTAAAACCAAGAAACAAAATCTTAGTCCATCGATCGCCCCAAGAAGGCTGGCTACCAGGTTCCATCATTGTTTGGGGAGCAGACTTCCCCTTGGGCTAATCTGTCTTTGACAGAGTGAACAAGCGTCCAGAGCAGCCTTTGGCCAATCGGGAGAACGCTTGGGACAAACGATGGCCCCAGGCATCCTGCCCCCTTGTGGTAAGCTGAGACGTAGACGTGGCTCCCCACCCCTGCGCACTCCCAAGCAGGACAAACCCGGGGGACCACGGCTTCCAAAGAGCTGTGTGCACGCTGAGAAACGCAGGGCCCAGATCCAGTCAATGCTATTCAGCCCTAAGTCGGGACGTCCCGAGGTCACGGGAACCTTCTCCCCGAGAGAGAAGATTGTTTATCGCCAGGACCGACAAGTTAACTCATCCAACCAGCCAGAAGTCAGAAGAGCAGAATTACCCAAACAAAAAGCCAAGCTAAAGGCATGCCCCCCCATGCCCCACACCTGCCGCTGCAGCTAGGACTAGGAGACTGAGGCCTGAGCGTGGGTCTGGGCCCCTGAGGTAGCCCAGGGATAGCCCTGAAAGCAGCTTCCCAAAGCCGCTCAGCGGGCTGGGATGGCCTGCCGCTGCCGTCGGATCCCTTCTCCCTTCCCCCTTCCCCTAGATACATCTGTCGGTGGTCTTTCTGTGCGTCAGTCTATGCTACCGGAGCGGGGGGGGGGGGGTGGTGGTGGTGGTGTGGGAACGGAATTGAACAGAGCAGTCAACCCCGGGTACAAGCATTCCGTCTTTTATTACAAGGAGTCGGGGATTCATTCATTCATTCTCTCAAACTAGAACTCTGAAAAACAACCAGACTGTACATTTCATTTACAAGCCCCGATCCCCGAGATCTGGGTTGGGGGCCCCCCTCCCCACCCGGTGCGGCGGCCGAGACGGCCCCGGGAGGGAGTCGGGGGGGGGTCCAGTCTCGAGACACAGGAGGAAGAAGAGGAGGAAAAGGAAGAGAAGGAGGAGGAGGAGGAGGGCAAAGAGGGGGAGGAAGAGGGTGGGAGGAAAAGGAGGAGGGGGGGCCCGGGGCCGCCAGGGCACGCACGGTAGGTACAGGTACTACTACTCCAACTTTAACGGCTAGGGGGTGAAAATCAGCATTTCCGTTACATCCTCTCTGTGCATTATCAAAGCAGACACACACACACACACTACATACATACACAGTGTACGGGGTCCGGGCGGCCCCGGCCCCCGGCCTCAGGCGGCCGTCCGGGCTGGCCCACGCCACCATTCCCCGGGGTGGCGGGGGCCCCGGCCGTCGGGGGCGCCGATGGGCGGGCTGCGCGCCGGGGGCCCGCGGTACAGAACCCCGACGGAGCCGTCCTCGCCGATGCGGTAGGACACGTCGGACGGGTCCACCCACAGCGTCAGCTCTCGGGGCAGCAGCTGGAAGAGGCGCCGGGGGCTGAGCCCGCTCTCTCCCGCCGCCCGCCCCACCAGCGGGTCCAGGCGGTGGTTGATGCGGATGCAGCGGTAACCGGAGCCCCGCGACGGCGTCCGAGGGAACCAGTGGTGCTGGTAGTGATCTGCGGAAGGGAGGCAGCGAAGGAAGCATAGGGGGGCGGGACCGACGGGGCACCGTTTGGGCGTCCGCTCCGTCCAGCCCAACCCCGGGCCCCGCCCGCTCCGTTCAGCCCCGGTGACGGACGGGCGGACGGGCGGACGGACGGGCGGACGGGCGGACGGACGGACGAACGGACGGGCGGGCGGACGGGCGGGCGGACGGGCGGGCGGACGGGCGGACGGGCGGGCGGACGGGCGGGCGGGCGGACAGACGGACACACAGACTACCTGTGAGCGCCTCCTGCAGAGACTCGCGGAAGAGCTGCAGCTGCTCCTCGGCGAAGCCCCCGGGGCCGCGGAGCAGCCGCGTGATGAAGCCGGCGGCCGAGGCCACCTCGGCCCGCATGGCGGCCCCGGGCCCCCGGCGCATCCGCCCGCCTGCTCCGCCGCCCCGGGGACCGAGCCTCCGGGAGCCGAGCCGGGCCGCGGGACCAAGAGCGGCCCTCCGAGCCGGGGCTGCCGCCGGAGCCGCCGCCGGAGCTGCCGCAGACAGGAGGGAGAGCGAGCCGGAGCCGAAGCCCGTGCGCCCCGCTCCGCCGCCCGGGCCGGTGCCGCGCCCGCTGCCCGCCGCCGCCGCCACCGGCAGTCGGCCAGGGGGGTGGGGGGGGGCCGCCAATGGCAGCGCGGCCCTCTGTGGCGTCACAAAGGGCTCCCCGCTGGCCCGGGCTCCACGCGCCCCCCGACGGCTGGATTCAGGGCTCCTCTCCTCCCCCTCCCCAGCCCGGACCCCTAGACTCCTCACTCCACCCCTGCCCCGGGACCCCTGACCCACCCAGGCTCTGCGCTCAACCCCAGCACACCCTGACCCCGAGCCCCCTGCCCTGACGTGCACCCCGAGAGTGGCAGACGGGGACCAAGAGCCTTAAATCGGGCTACATCCACCCCCTCCCATTGGACGGGACAAGCCAGCCTCTGCGTAGCAGTCCCCTCCCGCTCCACACGCTCCCCCAGGGAAATACCCTAAAAATCATAAAAAGAACTAAAGGGGCTTGCCATGCTCCAGGCGCTGTGCTAAGCATTTCACAATTGTTATCTCATTTGACCCTGGGAGGTAACTGCTATTGTTATCCCCACTTTAAAGAAAAGGTCACTGAGGCAGGAAATGACTTGTCCAGGGTCACACAGCCAGTGCCAGTCTGAGGCAGCTCCACTCGCATAACAGCTAGCTGCCTCTACCAGAAGCTGCTTCGGGCACCCCCTTGGGATGACTGTGTGTGTTCACTTATAGATGCTGGCCCACATTGCTTCACCCCAGTGAAGCGTAACCTGGGCCCCCAGGGCCCAGGCTGGTGTTTCCTCAATGTTCCAACATTCCAAGGCCTAGGCCTGGTGGCCTGAGCTTCAGGGGCTCTCATTGTTTCAGGGCCATTGAGACCAATTCCTTCATCACACGTATGAGAAAAGGGCATCCTGGCGAAGGAAGGCACTTGACCAAAGGCAGTCCTTCAGAAGAGGTTTATTAAGCACCTGGGGCTGTGCTAAGCTCTGTCCCCCAGCAAGAATTACAGGCACAGGATTTGTGCCCAGGGCTTCTGAGGACAGGCCTAGCGCTCTGGGCATTGAAATGCTGCTGGGGTCTAACTGACCCTGGGGTCATGGGATAAGATCAGTCCTACAGCCAGGAGTAAAGGGCCAAGGCCTTGGACTGCCCCCTTGCCCTGTGGGTCAGCATCTCTAGGAAGGAGGCACAGGCCAAGTGTTCTTGAAGGAAGACGACTCTGGATGGTTTTAGGCCCTGGACAAGGCACTCTGACTGCCCACTGAACCCTTCCCAGAGCCCTCTCGTCCTGGGAGAGTGCAGACTATGATCCCCGGCTGGCCTGGGAGGAGATGCAGGCCCAGAGCTCTGCTGTCCCAGGGTCACCCCCATCCCTCCCCCTCCTTGAGCACCTTGGCGTGGAGGCTTCTGAGAACACACACACACACACACACACACACACACACACACACACACACACACACACACACACACACACACACACACACCCCCCAAGGCCACCAATGTCTCCAAAACCCACCTTCCAAGCTTCCCTAGTAAAATTCAGCCGACATTGCAGGCAACAGGCATTTCCAGGGGCTGAGGAAGTTTTAGGAGCACAGACCTATTGCCCAGGGACGCTCAGAGGGAAGTCAAGGACCAGAGTTTTCCCCCGGCTGTTCAAAGTATTTGGACTCCAAAGAACCCCAGCCAACCAACTAGCTCAGCACCTGTCTGCAAGGTTTCTAGTCTTCCCAGGGAGCCTCGGGGTAACCTGCTGCCCTGGCAGGGCTGCCAGAGCCCTCCAGAGTCAGCCCGGAAGTGTGTGCACATGCACGCATACATGCGTGTGTGTGTGCATGTAACTCACAAGGGGTGGAAATGACAGAAATCTGAATTGGGAAGGTGGGCAAAGAAGACTGGGTTTGGTGCCAATCCCAGTACTAACCTTTAAGCACCTGGGACAATCTGGGCCTCAGTTTCCTCATTAGTAAAATGCAGAGGTTGCCTTAGGACCTGGGTGATCTCTGAGGTTCTTTCTAACTCAAAATTGGTGAAGTTATTGGATCATGACGGTAGTAACATGTATGAATGTGTGTGTACATGCCCATGGATTGTTGTCTAAATGTATAGTGTAGACGTGACTCGCATGGCTAGATATGAGCTGACCCAGGTCTTCTGAGGTGGTGGGGTGGGGACGGGGGAGTCAGTGCCTTTTAAAAACAAGCGTGCAAGCTGGGGGTGGGGGCATGCCCCAGGAGCACCTTTTCTCCAGGCTCTGAAGTTTCAGGCTAGAATTCTCCCTTCCCCCTTCTCAACAGAATTTTGAATGCAGTCTAGACTGGAACAGTCTCTAACCTAGGAATGGCCAGAGGCGAACGAAGCAGGCCAGCGACAGGTATGTCAGGACGCCAAGTAGCGCTTTAATTTATTTCAGGGTGAGGAAGCCCCGCCTCCTGAGGAGGGCTGAACGTCTTGGGGCGCAGGCAGTGCATGTATCCCAAGTGGGCTGGACTGTGACATAATCACTTACGTCTCAATCAGCAGCTTCTCGTGACAGACGCCTTCGTGGACAATGCAGGTGATCCTGGGGCCCGTGGGATCGGTCTCCAAGCTGACTATCTCATAGCGGGGTGCAGTACCTGGTTCGGTTCACTTAGCTGTTACAAGGAACAGGGATTGTGAGCAAGTCAAGCAAGGTGACGGGAGGCTCTCAGGTCCCTGGGAAATAGGCAGCAGTGATCACCTGGTGCTCTGCCAGAGCGTGAGATCGCCCAGAGCACCAAGGGTTGTTGTTGTGCCAAGCGCAGGACACAGCATGCTGGCTCTGGGAAACGGGAGCCTCCAAAACATTTGGACGCCCTCAGCACCTCTGATGTAGGGGGTCAGAAGGAAAGCCAGTTCCCTGGCTGTCTTTATTAAGGAGAGCAGGCCTTAACCACCCCAGATTATCTCCTTCTCAAGAGATTCTGATACACAAAAGCCCCTGCAAAGAGGGCGCCATTGCTCCAAGCCAAATTGCCAATAGGAATCAGAGTTCTGCAGGTTGGCATGAATGAGGAGATGCATCAGAGTGAACGAGCTCTTCAGCTGCAAGCAAGATCCTGCTGGCTCAGACCCAGGGAGATCCATTGGAACAGCCTCTAGGGAGGCAAGCTTAATGTCAGACAGTGTGAGGAGCTGCTTCTCCTCTGGTGTGTCTCTGCTGCTTCTCTGTCCACATTCCTGTCCTGAAGCCTCAGCCTCATAGGTCTCTCCTCCAAACAGCTCTGGGTCCGATTCAATATGTACATATACATATACATACATATTCATACAACAAATACATATGCATGCATGCTATACAATATATACGCATGCATACATACATATACATACACAATATGTACATATACAACACAGACATAGATACATATACAACATAGACACATACACACATACACATATACATATACAACATAGACATACATGCATAAACATGTACATATATACTATATATACACACATACATGTATATATATATATATATATGCACATATACATATTCAATATATACATATAGAGGGCTCTTCTGGGATGGACATGATTCAGGCCAGTGCCGGGCTAGTTTAGAAGCAATATTAGAATGCAATGAGACCCTCTTGGATCATTCATCAATGAACAAAAATAGATTTTTTCAGCCATGGCACAAGAAGGCTATTCAACAGGGCACTGGGGGGGTGCTTGAAGTTGATTCAGCTGGTTTGAATTAGCCCTTGTGAGGGACCTCACTTTGGCCCCAGTTCTGTTTCTAACTGTCGGAGGACACCAAGAACACCTTCTTTTGGTTCTTTGGTCCTCAGGTGACCAGGAAGCCTGAGCCTGTAGTCTGCTGGGTGGCCCGTCAAGTCTTCAAGATGTTATCAATACCTTTTAAGGAAAAACTGGGCTAACTTTCACGAGGGTCAGGGTGAGGATATCACTCCTACTTCAGCAAGTATGCAATGTTGTGTCACCCTCAGCATTCTGTCCAACGATCCAGGGGGTCTCCTTCTGTATACACACACTTGGGGTGTTCAAGGAGGACCAGCACCTGCCATGTGAGGGCTGCTCACCTTTGGTGCCCACCTGCCCCCAGCTCTCACCTGTGGCACCAAGAAGCTGTAGCACACGAGGTGGCCACATTCTGGTAAAACCATCTCAGTGGACTGGCTAAACCAGGTTGAGGGTAACCAGTGGATCTCAAACCTGTCGGTGAGTTGCGGAGTATGCAAAGACTTCCCCTGGCAGAATGGCTGGATGAGAACAATTTGTTTCAACAGCCATAAAGGTGGCTGAAGCAGGCACTGGGGAGTGCTTAGCGCTTGGTCAGACATGGACGATGCCAAGGTCATCCCCTGCATCTAGGGCCATCGCCTGTCCTAACCTTTGTCCTGCCAGTGGACACCGAGGACTCTGGAAGAAAGACTGAGACTGACAGCTTTGTGCAACTTTGCTTCACTTAAATCCAATCATGGGCAAGTCAAGGCGTCACCAGAGCTGTCACTGGTCCTCTTTGAGAACAAAGGCTGAACAACAATAACGGCATCACTCAAAGTGCTCAGGGTTTGGTTGGAAGTGCACTTACATGACGAAGTGAAGGGCATTCTAAGCCCACAAGGGTCAGTGTTTTGTCAGCGGGGCCCACCACTAACTGTCGAGAACAGTGATGCACCATGGGAGCCCTAGTGGGTAGTGGTGTGACCCCAAGAGGTAATCACTTAGTGGGGCAGGAAGGTGGACCCTGTCTTACCCTCCCCATTACAGCCAATATTGGGACTTATCGACAACCCCTCCACCCCTCCCATACACCTATTATCATTCAGTTTTCCCCCAACCCACACCATCATTATTGGTGGTCTCCAAAGGGGATG